TGGACTTGTCCAGCTGGTTGGTGGCATCGCCGGATGCCGAGGCTAGGCCGTGCGTTGACTGTTCGGCCATTGCTTCTGGGTGAGTTGTGGTCTGGAAGAGCCCAGAACCAAAAAACACTAACGTGCAAAGCTAGCTTGCAGGCTTGCAGCCGATGCGCCTCTTTGGGCTGTTTAGGGTTTAGGGATCGGGGTTGTCAGTTTAGGTCACTAGGCGCTTTAGGATGTCAAGTATGGGCTTGCATGTTCCTGTACACGAGATACAGGTGCCGAGACACGAAGCACGAGGGCATGCGGTCGACGGGATGGACAAGATACAAAGGGGCTGTTTTTGAGCAGGTACAGAGCATACTCGACCCTTAGTGGAGGACGGGCTCAAGCCTGCCTCCATGAAAAGGTTCCTCCTCCTCAGAGATTTTTCGTACCGCGATTCGTACCCCTAGAGCCAATTCAAAGCATCGCACAAGCAACAGCAGAGCCAGCAGCTGCAAGGTCAGCATCTGCAGCAACTCAAATGTGAATCTCTGCGAATCTCATACAGGCACAAAGCGCTCAAAACACCGTCCGGCATAGGAATGACCGAACACTTCTGACCCTGATGCGTTTGGGATAGTCAACAAGCTACATGACAAAAACTGATGATGGCCCAAAGCGACCTGAATGGCACATGTTGGAACACTTGCAAACGTGCTACAACAAGGCATTATTTCGCATAACCTACTTTCAAAACGATGAAACAAGCGACCGATGGACACGTTGCGAAAACGGCTTTTCTTTGCGGGCACTGGCAGGCAGGTGCTGGACAAAGTCTATATCAAAAACAGTGGCGTCACCTCATTGGACTGGTCGACCAAGCACTTTGCCCTGGTATGTTGCGTTATGCTAGCATGAGTTGACTGGTGCGAGTACCACACCCTTTGAAAGCCTCATAATCTAAGTTGGGGCTTGACAGCAAGACGCAGCAATTTAGAAATAAGTCCTTCGATATGCCGAAGTCGGTGAGCTTTACCTTTGCAGAGTGATTGTAGATGAGGACGATCTCTGAGATTTCAATTGCCTGTCCCAGGCTGTTGTGCAGGACGTTCTCAGGTTTGATGTCTCGGTGAAGCAATCGCCTTCAAGTTTGCAGCATGTGACTCATTGTGACTCCAAATCACCAACGTGTCTGCAATGCCAGCCTGCTTTGCAAATGCTCCAGTCCACGAATAACTTGCGCCGCAATACAGGCTACATGCTCTGGCCTCAAAAAGGCATGGCACGAAGGCACAAAGCAATCTGCTCTCTCAAGATGTACGAGTCTGCATAGCTGTGGCTCGGGCGGAACCGGACCTGCGAGACGCCTCAGCCAAACCAATCATCTACTTGGAGGGTTGCCAATCATTGCTAGCGCAGCAATGCTGAATTCAATGGACTGCAAGCCAGCCTCCGGAGGTCGGCAAGGCTGCCCCTATCCATGAGCTCCACGACCTGCGACACAGAAGTACCACACGTCTCTGGAAGCTCTGCTACTACTACTTCTGCTGAGAAGATGACAACGTGCACCAGCCCGGTATCCTCACATTCAGCTTGCAATTACACAGCACGTTTATGAAATCACAAGGGCGGCCTTTCCAACGAAGCCGGCATACCACTGCACCAAATTAGGACAGCCAGCAGCCTGGGATGTGAACCAAAGATTAAATCAGACGTATAGTCCAAACCAGGTCCGGGAGGGAACACACAAAAAAAGTGAACATTCTCCGCGAAAATTGAAACAAGACTTCATGCTGATGCTGTGTGAGAGCACAGGATCTCCATGGAAAGAAAGGCAACAAATCGCGGCTGAATGTGGTGCCTTTAAGATGATTTCCGCACAACCTGAAAGGCCGTATCTGGGCATTTTGCGCCACAGGTTTGTCTGTTGGCCCTGGCGGCTTCATGGGCCTGCAAATTCGGGTTTACGTTTTCCAGGTTTGAAGATTACGCTTTAGGTTTCAGAGTTTGAGGTTTCAGATCGGCTCAAGCTCTTGTAGTTTGGGCTTGCATTTATAACACTCAAAGTCTCCAAAAGCTCAAGAGCCATCAACCCTCAGGAAGCAACTACGTTTCTTGAGTCCAGAAGTCTGCGGTCGCTTTATACAACAGGGTTGTCGCTTGGGGTGTAATGTCAAAGGTCTAGGGTTGGCAGTTTACAGTCTGATGACTTGGGGGGAACTGTTCAGGACTTGTTCTTCAGTTTGATGTTCTGGCTTGTCATATGCCGTTGATGGCTTCAAGATTTGGGCTTTGTCCCTTGCGATTTAGCACTCAAGGTTCAAAGCGTTTTTCATCACGGCTCAATTGAAAGCGCTGTTGATTACGCTCGGTGTTCGAGATTGAGGAGTCTGGCAGTTAGGGTTTGCGACTTATGATGTTCAAGCTTTAGGTCATGGCATGTAGGGTTTGCAGCTTTGGCTTGAGGACTTGGGGCTTGTAAGGGCCTACAACCTCTTCGTTTGCGATTTACACGTTACAGTTGGGGACATCTCTTGCTTTGGCGTTTGTGGTCTAAAATCAAGGATTTGGCATTTACTGTGAAGGAACGGATGGCCACACTTGTACGCTTTGTTGCTTCTGATGCAAACAATAATTGTCGAATGCAACTCCGCGTCCCACGTTGAAATCGCATGCTGACAGCACCACAGTCTTCAAACTCGTGGCGGCCAAGATGATGACAACGAGCTTTTGCGGCAATTTTCGCTAGATCTTAGAACTGCCCGGGCAACGGAATCCAACAGCTCTGGCCGGCCCTGCCAGTCAATTCCGGCTCCCTTGGAAGAGCATCCCGGCAAACCATTCACCCGAACCGTCGCCTTTGCAATAATACTAATACAAGCAGCAGTGGTAGTGGCAGCAGTAGTAGCAACTCTATCACTAGTAGAAGAGTCAGGTCACGAGTTTACCGGCTCGCAATGCAAGTTTACCTTTAGCGCCGGGGACAGAAAACAAAGGTGTAGAAGAAGGATAGTAGAAGTAGTACTGCAAGCTGAAGGACAATAACACCTCGAATGATGCCCTCAGCAGTGGTAAGACTAGAAGTACTACTACTTGTACTGACGGCTCCTACAAAAGTGACATTGCTGTCGTCATCCCTGTTTGACAAGGTAATCTCTGTTGTAAAAGCAGTAGTGTTAGTAGCAAGAGAAATAGACAATCGAGGTAGTATTGCCAGTTGCAATGGCACCAGCAGCAGCCTTCCTCATCCTCACTGCTGCTGTCCAGGCACCAATAGCGGAAATAGTGATAGTACTTGCTAGCAGCATTGGTAGCACAGTGCAACCAGTAAAACTTTCATCACTGACCCGCTAAGTGAATGTGTGGAAGTGTTGCACCTGCTTTAGCAGGCCTTGTTTAATGCCAAGTTTTGGGTGAATTCAATGTCCGCCGCTTGATTTGGGTAACCCTGTTTGATCAAGTTTGGAGGCCAACATGTCAATTTTGGTATCCTGAAGCTCCAAAACTGAATTTGTTTGAGTAGAGAAGGAATAGCTCAAGCTTGCTAAGGCTCAAGAGGTCCTACTACTTACTAATACTAAGACCCGCAAAAAACATCGTTCATGGGTGCCGTCTAAAGCGGCTTGTCTGCATGGGGGCCCCACACACTAAAGCCGGCGCCACATCACCAGCAATGGTGTTGAGACACAAATTAAAGTGTTCAGGCCGCGGTGTTGCAAGCGAGGACACAAGCGGAAAGATTTGCAAAGGTACAGGCGAGGTGTTGACTGGCAGGCGACTCTGACAATAGATTAGCGCGCCGCACCAACTGACCCCAGCTGAATAGGCGACAACCAAGACCGTTGACTGATAACCAATCAAGTGCTTCAAGGACTTGTCCCAGAAGTCTGACTCAAATGTCCCTCACTTTGAAGACAAGTAGCAAGAACCAAGCCCTTGATTTCTTGCAACATCTGCTCCCGCTTCTCCTTGTTGTCAACCTTGACCTGGATCAGTCGATGCCCAGCAAGCACGTCCCATCACCCATCACAGGTCAGCGTACCGTTTTGATCGCAACTCGCATACCGGTAGGTTTGTGAACGCCAGCTTGGACCTTGTATGGGTTCAGAAGTGTCGATGGCTGAAAACAAGCATTCTTAGGTGCCAGGGATTGCCAGGGCCTCTACAACACCGCCAGCGCCAGTTCCCAAGGTGCAATCACGATCCTGAGGCGAGTGAAACTTTGCAAGAAATGCTCTCAAGGCTCACACTTGCAGGCTGAGTTAGTGATCATGCTGCATTGCTGACTACTTGAACAAGATATAAATGTGGACAACTCTTCTGAAACGGTCCAGGTCAATGTCTTGAGGTGAGAGTTTGTACTCTCTGCCATCAACGACCACCCCCTTGTCCGGGGATACCTGCACAAACTATGTTACACCATCAGTTCAATACTCAGCATGGCTCTTCCGGGTCTCTGGGCAAAACTGACATCAGTGGGAGCACTCGCATGCCAGACGGGTTGTGCCGCAACGTGCCATCCTCCATTGACATAGCAAATAAGCAACTCATGCCTGAACATGATGCGGAGCTTTGCAAGACAGCTCACCATAAAAACGAGATGTCAGGGCGTATGGGCTACAGAGGGCTTGACTGTGGTTGGCAGTGTGGATGAAGCTTTGGTGTGACATCGTGTGACGTGAGCCTGCAAGGACAGTGGATACGTACAGCGCTGACGATGTAACCAATATCAGTACATCAGCTTTCCACCATCAACTTGTGGTCCTCGTCAACGGACCATGTCAATGAGACCGACAGGTCCTCGCAGCAAGACGAACACTTGTTTATGCTCTGACTAGCCCATGCATACCATCCCGTGGCAAGACCCACGGCCCCTTGTGAGCCACAGTCCAGTGAACTTAAGTGGCTGACACCAGATTTTGCATTAGCGTTGCTTCTTGTCTCCCGAACCGCTTTGCAATGCTTCACATGGAAGACAATGGTATCGGGACAAGCGTCCATGAGCCAGCTGGATTTTGTTGAATAGTACTGGCTTAATTTGTATTGGAACTCATGCCTCAGTCAGCAGCTGGATCAGCAGCTGGATCTTTGGATTAGCTCATTGATTTGTACTACAGGCTTGGAGTACTGAAGTCCTCTGACTTTTTTGCGGTGTTGTTTTCGAAGTCCACTTTTCTGAGAAATTGATTTGTAGACAAAATTCACCGTACTGTTGTTGATGCTTTTTGTTGCTCAAATCCCAGCACACCATCAGTGGTCCAAAGAAACAGGAGAAGGCAGCCAAATGCTGGCATTGCATCGAAAGGCACAGAATCAAACCAAGTGGCCACCGCTCCAAACCAAACCCTCCAGATTTAAATGCTCGTACCTGAATATCCAACTGTTAAGCCATTTTGATCTGTCAAGCCTACAGCCAAGACTGCACTAACACTGGAACGAATGAAGCCGGAAACTGACAAACGACAAAATTTCTCAATCCAAAAAAATAAAATCCATCTACAACCCGAAAGCCTTGACGCCTTAAAGGCAATAGCGTTGAACCCCAAATCCATGAAAACATGCCCGAAACCCCCTCTGTGGCAGTTCACCAACAAAACTTTGCCATCCCTGAATTCTGACACCACCGTTGCACCCAAATCTTATATCACTCCGCTGGTTCAAGACTCGAATTTGTAAAAAAAACAAAAACACACACAAAAGCAAAAATGGTGCCCTGTTTACCCCACACATCAAACCTTCTAAGCACAACACCAAACCATGTCAACCTTCAAAAGCCGCAAGCCCAGAACGCCCCAGGTGCTGTTGTGTTGCGGCCGTTCGCGTAGGGTGAATACAATATGAAAAACCTGCGATGTTTCATGTCTTGGGCACTTCTTTTTTGGGCATCCACAAGCCTGACCCATTGCAGCTTGCCTCAACGAATCAGCTTCTCATCCTCGGACTGTTATCACAACGGCTTCCCTGTATCGAAGTGCTCGCATCAAGTATCCCTAAACAGCGCCAAACCAATGAACTCCGAAACCCAAACCCCAAACAACCCAAGCCCCAGGCCCAAAACCCTGGAGAATGAACCCTAAACAGCCCCAAGACCTAAACCCCAAACAGTAAACCCTAAAGAAGCCCACGCCACAACCAAATCAAGATCAAACCTGGACGCTGACTTTCAACCCTAGACAACACCAAACCCTGAACCCGAAACAGCTTCGAAAATGATAATAAAATAGATAACCCCGAGCCCTGAAGTCTAAATATCCCCACAACACGCAACCCCAAAAAACTCTAGACCCTGAACCCGACAAAAACGACGTCCCCCTGCCTGGGTGAGGCAAGTCTTGGCAGTTGCGTGCCAGCCCCAATGCGTCACCAGTTGCTATCCAATGCATCACACAAATTCCGTTTCAAAAATGGGCAGATCTTGACAGAGAATCAATCAAAAATTCTATGCGAAGACCTGGCAAGCGTTTCCAAGCTGCTCTTCCCAGGACACAATTACTTTTGCATCATTTTGACAGGTTCTTGGAGCTGGCCAATAATCATGCGAAAAAGTCCGACAAAAAAAATTACCCAACCCCAAACCCCCGGCCCTAATTAAACGGAAAGTGTAAACCCTCAATACCCCTTCACCTTCAGCCTTAAGCACCCCTGAGAAAACTCTAAACCTTAAGCCCCAAAAAAAACACTTAGGCCCCAAAAGCTAATCCCTTAACCAAGCAACCTAAAAAGAGCGAAGACCCAAAAAAGATTGATTGATTGATTGAAGCCT